CTAACTGTGTCTATTTATTCGGTTTGGTAGAACAAAGTGAGGATATTATCGAGGATACCTGGGGCGATCTCAACAAGAAAAGCCTGCTTAAATAGACAAACAAATTTTATATTTATACTACAACATGCGTCGCCTTTTGTGTTCTTTCTATTTGGCCTTTTGGATAAGCAATAGTCCATCGAAAATCGGCAGTAGTACTTGAGTTGTGCGTGGATCTTTAGCGACAAACTCATTAAAGCTATGCATTTTCCGAGCAATGCCCTTGGCCTTTCGTACCGCTTTGGTACCATCATCGTCATTACTGGCGTTGCTGATAGTAGCTTGTGTATGCACTTGGCCGTGAAACAAAACGTTATCGACGATAATTTGGCCATTTTCGCTGAGCAAGTCCCTATTAATAATCATTGAGTAGTATCGCTTGTACGCCGACTTGTTGGCGTCGATAAACACGAGATCGAGCTTGTGGTTGGGATCCCACTCACCCAGTAAAAGGTCGGCAGGCACATTGACTACGCGAACTGTATCTGCAAGTCCAGCCAGTTTTACATTTTCTTCAGCAATATGAGCTATAGTCTGATCGCTCTCACACGTGCATAGCGTGGAGCCTGGAGTGGCTTGTAGGCCTTGAGCAAGCCAAATGGTCGAGTAGCCGATATAGCTGCCTAACTCGAGAACGGATTTGGGTCGCTGTATGCTGACGAAATGGCGCATGAACGCGCCTTGCAGTGGAGAGATCATCTTTTGCGCCTCGGTGGGGTCACGAGCAACGGCGGCCTCGCGGATGCTGGCTAGGACGGGCGGCTCGGACTGCGAGTAGCTGTGAGCATACTGGTAGGCACTATGTTGGCTGGCTTCATCGCTGTTGTCGAGAAATGACCGGAGAGTCGGGTGTGGTCTGCTACTGTGAATCAGACGTCGGGCTATTAGCAACCGTGGCGGCAACAAAACGTGTCTGGAAAGCATATTTTACGTGGAAGATACGGAGTGATTAATAGTGCTTGATAGTCGATCTCAAAGCATTATCGACGTGCCATTTTGCGATCTGGCTGGACTAACTTATGCGTCTTTTGCTTTTTACATTTTGTACAAATTTTACTTTATAATCTGTTTGGTCTCTTTTTTTTTTTTCTTCTCTCTTGCTCTTGAGCACATGGCGGTCTTTTTGAACGCATTGGCGACACTGGGCTGGGTGCTAGGAGCGGCATTTATCGTGTTTTCGATAGGCTGCGGTCTCTACGTTATATCGGAATGGGTAGAAGAGTACCCACGACAAACACGCAAGCTGATACAGTTCTCAGTATGGATAATAGACATCGTGCACGTACTGGCAGCTCTGGACGGGGTCAGTCTGTGGCGTGTAGTGGCGTCAATGTGTGCTAACCACGTCTACACGCTGAATCTAGAGACGTTCCCGCTGGTGCACACCACCAGTCTGGCGTTCTTGGGCAGCTGCGCGCTGGCGGTAGGTAACCACTTTATGTGGTTCTTCTACTTTATCCAGAACTTGGGGCACCCGTTCGGCCACGTATGTGCGTTGATGTTTTTCTGCGTGTGGATGGTACCCCTAGCGCTGTTTGTGTCGCTGACGCCAGTGGACGTGTCGCTGCCCAGAGCTCACGACAGTGGTGACCACCAGCGCACGCGCCAGAATATGTTCAAGACGCTGTTTGCAAAGTTTAGGCAGCCGGACGATTCCCGGACGCGGCAGCAATCCCTTCACGCCGAGTAAGGGGTCTGTGCACGCGACACTCCTTGTGCCAGCTTTTTTTTGAAGACCACCTTGGTCAAAGAGATTGGCAATCATCTCCGCCTGAGCTCCATTTGGAGAAAGCTTCTACGGGAAGGATAGGCAAATACGGCGGGTGCGGAGACGGAGACGTCCTGTGCGCCGTCTCCGCTAGGCCAGCAAGAAGAAAAAAATAATGGCCCTCCCCCACTCCTCGCTGAGAAGGTTGCATTGCTGCACATAAAAAAGCCGCTTCAACTGCTTGGCCCGCACGTTCCACCCCTCTTTCTTTCTCCTTCCCTTCCCATTTAATTATTATCACTTTTTTTTATCGAGCGCAAACACTTTTCCCTTTTACCATGACTGTTATCTATTCCTCGGCTGTTCCTCAGACCGGCAGCGAAACCGAGACGCCTACTCGCCGCTTCCACACTACGGCGGACCGCGTGGTCGACCGGGCACAGCCAGACATCACCAATATCTACGCGGCGCTTTTGCGCGGTCGAGACACCAAGCCCGACTATAAATCGCTGGGCAAGCGTGATGTCCTGGGCACTGTGACTGAAGAGAAGACCGTGCAGCACAAGGTCGACGGCAAACTTGAGCAAACGACCAAGGAGTGGAGCTTCTTCAAGCTCAGCGAATACAAATGGATGTCCTATGCGCAGGTGTACGAGTATACCAAGAACCTCGGTGCTGGGTATCTCAAGCTGGGTTTGAAGCCCAAGAGCCGTGTGCTTATCTACGCCCCAACCTCACGCGAATGGCAGTTGTGCGCATTTGGTAAGTATCAGAATAATATGTGTTGGCAATTTCCAAAATTATTCTTGTGTGCTCACGGATATTGTCCGAGGATTGGACAAAATAGGGCTGTTTACTGCTATGCATTTCCCTTTTTGTGGCAGACTAGCAAAGCCTGGCCTATAGTCCATCGAAAGCCCAGTAATTGTCCACCTGTTTTTTTTTCCCTGTTGTGGCCCCTGTGTTTGCACATCCCCTCCCTCGTGCCTCAATCCTTCTTGGAGCATGCAGTCCACACGTGCCACTTTCTAAACAAAAAAAATTGCATGGACTGCTTCCATTCTTCTTTAATGTAGGTGCGTTCTCACAGTCCATGCAAATCGTCACCGCTTACGACACGCTGGGCGAAAGCGGCCTGCTGCACGCAATGAACCAGGCTAAGGTTGACCTAGTCTTCCTCAAGGCCGACCAGATGCCTACCTTTGCCCGCATCATGGACGAGGTGGAGACCGTCAAGCACGTGGTCTACTACCAGGATCTCTACGGCATGCCTAAGGGCTGTGAGGAGGCTATTGAGAAAGTCCGCGCCAAGTTTAGCGTCTCAACTATTGACGAAACCCACGACTTGGGCAGGGACAACCCCGTTGAGCTTGCACTCCCTGACGGCCAAGACATTGCGCTGGTTATGTATACTAGCGGAAGCACTGGCAAGCCCAAGGGTGTGCTGGTCTGTCACCAGGGAGTTATGTCGGTCGCTGGCGGCATCCACGAGTTTATTCAGCCGTACCTTGAGTACTACAACGACGTTGTGCTCTCATACTTGCCATTATCTCATGTCCTGGCCTTTTTCGTCGACGTATACTGCATCTACTCGGGTCTGGCTGTCGGATACGGAACGCCACGTACGCTGACGGACGAGAGCGTGCGCGAGTGCCAAGGCGACATTAAAGCGCTGCGCCCTATGGTCATGCTGGGCGTACCCCAAGTGTGGAACACTATTCGTGCTGGTATGCTCAAGCAAGTGGACAAGAGCAGCTGGCTTGTTCGCAAGCTGTTTTACGGCGCAGTTGAGCTGAAGAATACGCTGCGCGGTTACAACATGCCGCACAATTTTATGGACAGCATCGTGTTCAAAAAGACTCGCGAGGCTACTGGCGGACGCCTAAAGTTTGTCATTACTGGCGGCGCCCCTATTAACCGCAATGTGCAAAGGCTAATGACTGCTGCCTTGTGCCCGATGATCCAGGGCTTTGGACTGACTGAGGCCTCGGGTCTTGTGGCTGTCCAGCTACCGAGCGACTCGTCGTTCAATAACGTTGGCTCGCCGTGCCCCTCGGTCGAGATGAAGCTGGTCGATGTGCCTGAAGCCAAGTACTTTGCGCGTAACGGGCAGGGCGAAGTCTATATTCGCGGACCATCGATTTTCAAGGGATACCTGGACAACGAAGAGCTGACCAAGGAGACGGTCACTGAGGACGGTTGGCTCAAGACCGGGGATATCGGTGAATGGACTGAGCAAGGCCAGCTCTCGATTATCGATCGCAGAAAGAACCTAGTCAAACTCGTTAGCGGCGAGTATATTGCCTTGGAGGCCCTCGAATCGACTTACAAGAACTCGCTCTTTATCCACAATATCTGCGTGTTTGCCGACTCGCGTATGTCCCAGCCCTGCGCCGTCGTCAATATTGACGAGAACTTGATCGCGCATATGGCTGACGAGGCTGGCGTTCACTATAATAACCCCTCGGAGATTGCGTCTAACAAGCAGTTTATTGCTCATGTTCTGGCTGATTTGCAGCAAGTTGCAAAGCGCAATAACTTGGCCAAACAGGAGACACTGACTGCTATTCGCATTGACTCCGAACTCTGGTCGCCTGAGAACGATAGGTTGACGCCTGCGATGAAACTCAAGCGCAGCGATATCCGCGACCACAATCAGGATAAGCTCGAAGACATGTATACCCAGATGAATCTCGAGTCCATTTAGTTCTCTAATATTTCTTTTCGTATTACTCATCCGTGCCCAATGCCAACACGAACTATAATAGTTGCTTTGCCGGAATACTTGGACCCTCATCTGCGCACATGTCCTTACTACTAGCGCATACACATACACACGCTATTTGCCTTTTCTTTTAGCTTAGCACTTGTCAGCTCAAAATAATAGTTGTGACAATAGCACCAAAGACGCTGACTTTATTGCGTCATTGCGCGTGCTTAATGATACTACTACGTTGCTTGCTATGACCTGGACAAGAACAAGGAATTTCCTTGATTAGTGACCTAAGAGAACGAAAGGTGTTTATTTTGGTATTGGGATCATAAGCCAAGCTTACCCGTCAGCAATACTTCTCTTTCCTTGGTCGCATGGCGTGGCGGGGCGTGGCGTGACGTGGGCTTTATTTTTTGATATATATCTTTTCTTGTTGAGATGAGTTTACCGTCTATTAACTGCCGGATTTTTCAATTATTGACAAATATGCTAGCTCCAAAGTCTGTATGCTTTGCAGGCTCGGCCTTCAAAAATAAAGTTGCCTGCTTAGCACAGGGGCAGTGCGCTGCTCTCGTACTTTCCAAGTCAAGCAGAGGTCATCAGTTCAATTCTGATAGTAGGCAAATCGCTTTTTGCAGCTGTGCTTTTTTGTTTTTGACACTTGAGTCCAGCGAGCACATTTTTTATTCCCATTCGCTTATCGACATTGTCGCCCGAGCGCTTGTTGGCAATGGCTCTAATCGTGTATGTTGTAGTAAACTGCAACTCCCTCTTTTGTTGCGTGTGCCTGTAATTCTCTCCCGACGGTAATCACCAGGGCACTGCTGCTCCTTTTTGGAACAGACCACAGAACTAAATAAACGTACGATTGTCTGCGCAACATCAACTGTGTTGGATGCAATACCGTAGCTTTGTGATGTAGTTCTCGGATTCATGTACGCTCAGATGCGAGGTGCAGCTGTGTGGATAATATCTGCGATTGGCAATCTCTCACCACTTGGGCCATCTACGCAAATCAAGCCAGAACAAGCCAATCGTCTACTAAAGCGCATGTGCCGCCCTGCAACATTCTTCCAATTCCGCATATTCCGTAATAAAGCACTAAGTGCAGAAAAATGCGTAGTTTGGCCGATACATGTGCTAGATTTCCCCTGTACTGCATTGATGGCACATATTTCCATGTATCATATAAACAGAACAAACATATATCAGGGATCGGGATTACGCTCTTTCCTTCTTCCTTTCTCTCGTCCTACTTTTTTAAATCGTCGCAAGCACATACCATTAGTTACTATCTCCGTATGGCTATCTACGAACTGCTTTACGCCAATCTGGGTCGCGCCGCAGAACACTTGTGGCACCTGGAGTTCTTCCCTTCCGTTCGACTGGCTGTAGTAGCAGCTGGTACTCTTTCATTTGGCTACGTATTCTACAGCTTGTATCTCTCGCCCTATTGCCGCATACCTGGACGACTCTTGTACCGCCTCTCATCGCTACCGTCTCGTCTTGTGATGGTCTGTGGTCGACTATCTGAAGTGGCTGAAGCCGACTACTACATATTTGGCGACATATTCATGATGCGCCCTAACGTAGTGATACTCAGCAACCCAGCAGACTGCCGCACAGTACTCAGCACCCACAGATTTGTCAAGAGTGACATGTACAAGGCTTTTGCGCTAGTCGACGAAACCATGTTTACCACTCATTCGGCGGAGCTTACCAATATGCGCCGCAGACAAGTGGGGCCAGCATTTACTCATGGGTATCTAAACGAGATGGAGCCGATTATCCTCGAATGTGGCATCCGTGCGATAAAGGCCAAGTGGGACAAGGAAATCGCTCAATCGACTACAACCGGGTCAGCCACTGTCAACTACGGCCTTCATTTCTCCATGGTTACATTCGATGTTCTTGGTGCTCTGGGATACGGCCAGCGATTCAACGCACTCCGCGACAATACCGCCAAGCTTGCTGACTGGGTCAATGATTACAACAAGTTGGCTATTGTCAAAATGGTCTATGATCACATCCTGTCCTTTCCTGCCAACCTATTGGTGCGGCGGCTAATCCAGAGCAGAGACAAATTCGTGGCGTTTGGCAATACTGCTGCCGAGCATCGTCGTGAACAATTGCGTCGGGGCGAAATCGAAAAACCGAAGGATCTGCTCCAGATCCTTATTGACTGTCAGGATCCTGAGTCTAAGGTCAAGATGAATGCTAACCAGGTAACCGCTGAGAATATTAGCTTTTTAGTTGGCGGCACTGACACCACAGCGCTGACAATGAGTTGGACATTGCACTACCTCATGCTCTACCCAGACGTCTACCGTAGGGCGACCGAGGAAGTGCGCGCTGCTTTCCCGCGCCATTACACTATTACTTATGCTGAGGGCAAAGCTCGCCTGCCCTACATTGACGCCTGTATCAGCGAGTCTTTGCGCATTCGTGGTGCGTCTGGCGTGCCGCTGCCTCGCGTAGTGCCTGAAGGCGGTGCTACCTTCCAGGGCCACTTCTTACCAACGGGAACTCTAATCGGTGTCAATGTCGCTGGCGCCAACCATCACCAAGGCACTTGGAAAAATCCGCGCAGATTCATGCCCGAGCGCTTCTTGGACGACGAAAAGGCCAGGCACAATCTGCTTACGTTTAGCTCTGGTGTCAGAATCTGTCCCGGTCGTAATTTGGCGCACTACGAAATGATGACAATGATCGCCAACTTGTTAAAGGATTATGATTTTGCTATGCCATCTGACTCATTGTTCACGCCAGAGCGCCTTGATGAATATGGAAATCCCATTGCCATGCCTCGCACACACAGCCTCAGTGTCGGTCCCAGGTATCCAGAGCGCGACTGTCGCATCGTGATATCTCGCGCTCTCGAGTACTAGCACATTTTTATTTCAACATGCATTATATACATCTGTTAGAAATTAATGATCAGATAGTCCAAGGATGAATGGCTCGACTAAGTTTCGCTCGCACAGATAGTCTCACATTGCACTGCTTTAATTGTTTTCGGTTTACAGTTTCCAGACCATGAATTTATTGCGTGGCTATCCTCCAAGCTCCGTATGTAATAAACCTTACCTTTTAAGAAAATTATTTCTAGCTTATATTGTTGCTAAGGGCCTAATGGCTACATTACAACCACATTTTCTATAACCCTTCCAATTTACTTTATTTTCATTCAGCTATTGATAACACTGCAGGTGTAGTTTGTTATCTATAATTACAGTGATCACCTGAGGAATATCGTTATTATAAGTGCGCTGATAGTAAGAAAATTAGCTTTAAGGCTTTGCAACTGTAGGTTTCAACCGTAGATAGTTTTACCGAGCAATAAAGCTCTAAGTCACCGTTCTAATGTCTCGTATTAAATGAATAATAAAGATATAAGAAGTGATTAATTGAAACCTAAGCTGAGCCGCTGAGTGCGTCTCACTATATATAGTGTGGACCGCTAGACGCCACACCCTTGTTAATCGCTCCGTAGATCAGAATCGCCCGATTGGTCACGTGAGCGACTGTGGGATCAGCCGTCGTTTCTACTGGGAGTGCTTGATCCTACAGCAACAATGTATTGACCGATGATATATTGTCAGGCTTAGTCCACTGGTGGCAATATCACTTGCCATAGCTAGTAATTGTTACATGTGTTTAAGTTCAATAAATATAAAGACATAAAGAAAAGATCCTCCTCTAATCCCAACCTGGATGCTGGGCAGGCAAGCATATAAATACTAAATAACATGTTATGATCATCAACAGGAGCCGTAATCACATATGGCAGCAGTCTTACTCTCTTATTAACCTGCTGGACAACGTCCTTATGTGACAGTAATGACCGGGCTGGCATCATGTATGAGTACAGTGCCAAATAGTTCCAAAATTGCTTCAATATATTGTATGACTCCTTAGCGAAAGCATACGTTTCCCTT